TATAGTCCTTGGAATAAACTGCATGCCCCCAAGTTGCCTTACCACTAGGGCTGGAGTGTAACTCACATAACTTGTAATCCCTACCAATGATGCCCAACATCTTTATCCACAACTCATTAGAACTTTCACTGCCATTACCCATGAGGCTCTCCACTTGAAATCACTACTAGGTAAACCTTCTAATTTGTCAACCCAACCTTGGCACAAGGTCAAATATGCTCAAGGCAATCAATCTCTCGTTTTCTAATCCTAACTTTTTTCATTTTAATTTCTAGCATCCTTCATTTCAGATCGATAACATTCTTTTTCTAAAAACTTTTCCATGTTGGTGATTTTGAGCAATTTTAACAATTCGGGGATGATCTTATTAAATCTCAAAGGGAAATAAATCCTATATAAATTGTTTGGAAACTCAATCAACATTCCATATTCCTCTATAGTAGGACATCGGTCTATGCTTTTAAAAGAAAAACAATAGTAGTCTGGATCCCAAAAAATAAACTAAGACTTGCACAGCTTGGCTTAAAACTTATACTCTTACAATTTCTACCAAACGTCCGTATTTCCTAAAAAAAAAAAAAGGCTTTCTTATCCACATTCTAAAAGTGAGTCATTAACTTGTTCGCCTCATTTATAATGCAATTCAGGTTCTTAATTGGTGATAGCTTTATAGCATCGCTTCTAAGACAGTCTCCTTCAGTTAATTGTGATAGTTCAAAATTTTCCCATATTCTATGATGGAAAATTTAGTAATGGTGGCAATTTCATTCACAAGTCCTATAATTCAAGATACCTTGGGGTTAGACTTGTTTTGATACAAAAGATATTATAGAGCGTACACCTTAAGGATAGGTTCTAGTTCTTTTACGTGAGACATATGGTAGGTTTACTACTTGGTCTCTAAAAAAAGGGTCTCTTCCTGTCTCAGTGATCACCCTCGTAAAGGCAATATAGGGGTTCAACAGATAGTGAGGTGGCACAAGTACCAATCACAATCAATCTAAACACTTAGCAAAGAGGTAGGGTTTGCACAAACTTAAACCTTAACTCAAGTCATAAGGCAAGCTGCTAGTTCCCCACTTAACTTAAAGTTTAATGTATGTGCTCTAAAAAAAATAAATAAATAAAGTGATGACTACACCATGTATGACAGAATGCATAGATGCATGCTAAAGTTTTTAAACAAAGTATCATTCATAATAATAATAAAAAAACACATAGCATAATAAAAAAAACAATTACCAAGCTTAATCCAAAGGTTCCCAGTGGAGTCGCCATCCTGCCGTACCCTCGCGAGGGGAGAGCGGCATTGCGGCGACCATCGATTGATTTCAGGGTCTTTTAGTTTTATTATTTGTGTAAAAGGGAGTCGCCACCTAGTATTATGGTCACTAAGAAACCTAACTGGTCTTTCAGAGATTCTAAGATAAGGGACTGGTTGTGTAAAGGGAAGGTGTTAGCACCCCTAGTACGCCCTACCTAAGGTAAGCTGCTTGATGTTTGGTTTGTCTTATAATTGCTATGGTGTTGGTGTTTTCTAATCCCATCAGTTTTTCTCAATTTGATTTTAACAAAATTTATTAAGAAAGAAATCCAAAAAGATTTACTGTGCTTTACAAACTTATTTTTCCCTTGGTATTTCAAGAGTTTGTGACTCGTAAATCGTGAAGAGGGACAAAAATTTAGAAATCTAGGGTGCTTTAAAC